CTTTCGGAAATTTCAAGGCCAGCACCGAACCTGAAGTTCCTATACATCTACAAATTTCTTGTAGAGTACCCTGGACAGGCTGGTGCATATCCCAGCCTGAAATAGGTATCTTGCAACACAAATGATTTTTTGAGACGTGCTCCCAGCTTTTGTCAACGTCTAGGCTTTTAAATTTGTCACATGATGACACATAGTGATCAATCAGCTTACAAAAATTACAATATTGAGTTGTTATTTGTTTATGTGGCCACTTATCATCCTATATAGTAAGTGTCGTTTCTTTTGGCTTGTTCAGTCGATACCCTTATATTTGAGCAGCTCTACTTTTTTTGCCAATCCATCTTTGCAACACTAGAAGTTGCGGTTCGTCTTTATCCGTTTCTTGATAATGCAGGATATGCGTTGTGATACTGGAAGTTTTCCAATATGTCATTAAACAAAATAGGATTTCGAATATGGTCAATTTGCTCAAGTGACAACAAAGTATGAATTAAATTTGTAAGTTGGTCAATAAATTTATAAATTATTCAAACTTGTCATCTTCTAAAACAGGAATATTTCTTATTTTATCAATTAACTGTCGTACAATATGATTTGCAGCGCCAAATCGTTCTTTCAAAACCTCAATGACATCATCAATATGGCAATAAAAGAAGCGACTGTACTGCTTCCTTAGCTCTACCTGTCAAGGCCTTTCTTAAACGAATGATATTTTCATAATCATTAAATTTACAACTCGCTGTGCTGTTGACAAACTCAAACTAAAGGGTCGCCTGCAAATTTTGGGAAATCCTGCACGATTGTTTGTCTTGCCATAAAACTTGCAATTAAATTTAAACTCGTCTTTTCGTTATTACCATTATCAGCGCTACACTTAAACTGTAAAATACGAGGAAGTCCGTCGAAGCACTTACGTGTTCTGGATTCCGCCTGTGCTTTGTCTTCCTGAGGACACTGCACATTCCAGTTCTATTTGTTGTTGAAGCTCAACTTTTTGCTGCATCAAAAAATCCATTTGAATTTCGAGTTTCTCCATTTTCGACGATTTCCGAGAGCATTCTGATGTTCCTGATCCTCCTTTTTTTGTAGCTGGAAAAGGTGTCAAAGCTGGAACTACCGTGTTGTGAATTTCATCATAATCGGAAATATGCTGTATGTCGTCTTCGTCAGCTATCTTTTCTTTGTCTGCCGTTTTAGGCGTTTTCGGCTTGTGCTTTGGTGGCATGATTGCTGTCTGTTATCTGCTTTACTCTGCTGTCTGCAAATTTGTATGTATACCCAAGCCTGGGCTTATACTTATAAATGTCGTTGAGTCTGTGTGCTCGGTGCAACTGTCTGTTGCTGATATGCGTGTCTAAATCTGACCAACTTAGAACACTCCTCTCCAGAGTGTGTCCAAACCTCTGAATCCTCTCTAGAGTGTGTCCAAACCTCTGAATCCTCGCCAGAGTGTGTCCAAAACTCTGAACCTTTCCCAAACCTACGCATCAATCTTCTCCTCGGAGCGTGTCCAAACCTCCGCACCAATCTTCCCCTCGGAGTGTGTTCAAACCTCCGCATCAATCTTCTCCTCGGAACGTGTCCAAACCTCCGCATCAATCTTCTCCTCGGAGTGTGTTCAAACCTCCGTATCGATCTTCTCCTCGGAGCGTGTTCAAACCTCCGCACCGATCTTCCCTCGGAGTGTGTTCAAACCTCCGCCTCCATACTCTCGTCCGAGTCCCCTCGAGCCACTCGACTTATAAACCGACGCAGCACGCAGCAAACAGCCACGTGCGGCCGAGTAGCCAAAACCGAAGGATAATCCAGAAGGAAGACGAGTCACCACGATCCAACCTATTTCCAACTCTGTACAATTAAGACCAATAAAAAATCCTTTTTACTATACTACTTGTCCTTGCTTCATCTGAACCGAGATATCCCTTTCAGCTACCACAGCCAGAAACCTAACAAATTTCTGGGAACCCGGCGCGGCGAGCACACCCCGGACGAAGCGACGTCACAGTGGCACCCGAGCAGGTTGTGATAGGGTAAAGTGAAAATATCTTATGGTCAAGATGGCAAGAGTGTGGATCAACCAAGCGACAAAAGCAGAGCTGATCAGCTACTGCGAGGAATTTGGATTGGAAAAAACTGAAGGAGTGGAAATATTGCGGAAACAACTAATACAATTCACGGAAAGGAAGGACCTAAGCAGGGAAATACTGGAGAGGCTGGACCAACTCGGAACAACCCAGACAAGAGGCAGGAGCCCAAAACAATCACCGAGGATAACAACACAGAACAATACAGAACACTGTTTCCAAAGCAGATACGAAAAGGTTCACCAGAAGCGGTGGCCATAATAGATAAAATAAGGAAGTGGGACCTCACATTCACGGGGAATGGAGAACTGCTCGAATTCCTCAGCCGAATGGAGGAATTAGCAGAGACATATGGGATCGAAGTAGACCACATAGTATTTGCAATGCCAGTAATACTGGAGAAGAGTGCATTGGACTGGTGGCACACAAAACCCAGCGCCATAACGACATGGGAGGACGTGAAAAGCCAGTTAAAGGAGACCTTCATGTCGCCACAATACCATGAAGAACTGATACAACTCGTATCAGAACGGAAACAAGCAGAAACAGAGACCATACGAGAATTCATTCAAGACTTACGTAAATTGATGAGATTCGGGACGTACACCGAGAACGAGAAACTAGACATGGCATACCGGAATTGTAGGCTACCGATCAAACTCTATGTGAAGAGAACAAAATTCCCGACTCGATCAGAATTCATTATAACAGCGGAAGAGTTTGAGAAACTGGAGAGAGAGGCAGGCCTGTCAAAAACCACGACCAATACTCAGCTGAGTCGACAGTTGAACACCAAGAGAGCGCGTCCGCGCCTGCACGATCAGGATTGAATTTCGGTAGTACGACGACTATTGCGTCGTTTGATTGCGTACGCTGCACGGTTTTGATGAGCTCCATAAAATGGCGATTTTGCGACTCCAACAGCATTCGGAGGTTTTCGTCAGAACCGGCCTGAGGAGTAGTCCATCCCACTTCTGATGTCGTAGAGTCATTTTTACAATAATACTCTTCATTGTTTTCCTCATCCTCTCCTTCTGCCACCTCGTCGACAAAACGTTTCCTGGCGCGTGGCATGACTTCTCGCTTCACACTCCAAAAACTGACTGCCTCCGCAGTTCTTTTCTAATTGCGATCTTCTCTTTTCCAGTCATCACTCACACATGCAAGAATTTTGCCAACACACACTCAAGCCTTGATTGTACTTCTTTTTGCTCTCCTTCTTAATCTGCTTTACTGCAGATGTATTCTCTTTCATGCCCACGCCAGGCTACGTCACACAAGAACTGCCAGTCCACGAAAGTAGCAGAGGAACAAACAAACAGTACCGTGGTTAAAGACACACCAAACACGGAAGTTACATTTATAAATCATTTTCTTTATTTAAATTAAAAAGTTAATATGCGACACATACATACAACATAATATTAAAATTTATATAGATAGGATTTTTTGTGTTGCCATCACCTCCGATTCAATACACACAAAATTTATATATTAACAATTGGTCACCGCAGCGAAACGAAACGGTTGGAAGTGCCAGTACCTTCGCTTAACTATACAAAATTTGTATAAAAAAAAACAACGTAAGAAGGAACAATCACTGTTTAAGTCGTGGATCTTGGCCACGTAACGAGGGGCATTGCAAATCCGGTAAGCCCAGGACCACGATCATACCGAGGAACAAGATCACCTGCACTGCTCCCACCAGGATTTGCTTGAACATTTCCAAACCCCACTCTGAGTCGTCCACTCGCGGTGCCGCGTTGATCTTTCTGGAAGACTTTTCCCGTCCCCCGGCCAAACGTGTCGTCCGCTTCTTGGCTCTGAGCCCAGGCCCACGGGCACTTGTCGATGGCTGTTCCTCGGTCTGCGTGCCGCATGGCACCTGTGGGGGAATGGGCAGCGAGGATATGGCTGTCACCAGTAGCTGCTCCACCATCGGCAAAGTCCATCCATTGTCGGAAATCCCGTTTTCGGGCATGTGCGTTTCTATCGGGTGGCCATCGGAGGTCAGGCATGTCATCATCGAGTGCGTCGACTGGGCTGGGAGGTGAGTGGGACTCAGGCAGGACTTCATCGACGGCGTTGCGGTGGCATTGAGGCTCAAGCAGGACCCCAACGACGGCGTTGCGGTTCCGTCGGAGCTCAAGCAGGACAATATCGATTCCATCGATTCCAACGATGTCTTCGAGTGCAATGAGGCCAAAAATTGGCAAAATTGTTCTTGCGTGTCCCGACTGCCGGTCGATTCCAATCCCAGCTGGAGCTGCGATATGGAACGAATCAAGCTGTCCCTGTCGCTGTCCTTGATGGCTCGTGCTGCGCTCACCAGAGGACGCAGCTGGCCCAACACCCAGTTGGCGTTCGAGAAGCGGCACACGCCACCAACAGGACCAGCACGAGAAGCAGCACCTAAACCAGCATTGCGCTCAGAGTTTGCCGGTTTCAAACGGTCCCTGAAGCTGCGCCTCTCTATAGAGTACTGATGGGCAATGCCGATAGGCTGCGACCTGGCGCTGACGCGAGGCATCTGCATTACGCTCGCCACGTGCTCAATGTGCCGGAATCCGACCTGGCTGACGGTCACATCTTTCTGCCGGTTCTGCTTGCGCTTGGTCCCGCAGATGCTGTGCTTATTGGCACAGTAGCAGGGCTGCATAGAGGGACTGATGGATCTGAAGCTGTCGCATGGCGTGCAGTAGCTGCTCGAGGTATCGCTGGAGTCCACCATCATCTCATCGTTGGTTGTGGTTGCGGTTGCGGTGGTGGCTTTGGCGTTCGCGTTGGTCTTGATTGTTGGCTTAGATGATTTTTTGTGTGATTTGGGTTCTGGTGTCGTTGGCGGGCCTCCTCCTTCAGTGCGGTCCACCGGATTGATAATGGCCTGCATATTGGTCTCTATCTTCCTTTTCAGATGTATATTTACCGGTGCCGTTTTCTTCTTGTGCTCATTTTTAGCAGCGGAGGACACCGAGGGCCCCAGCTGCTTTTTGCTGGCCTCTTTTCGGTTGGGCCTGGCCGTCTCAGTGCCAGCGACCATCTCGTTCAGCAGCTGGTAGCTATCGTTTAACGCCTCCACGTCCCCTTGGTCCCAGGATAGTTCGCTCCAGCTCTCGGCACGACTGTTCGTTCCTCTGTGTGTATAGGAATCGTCGCTACGTCGGGGCACCTCGGCATTGGCATCCGTCGCCGACAGGTACGCGAAGCTGGAGTGGTGCACCTCTCCCCTGCGCTGGCCATGTGCCAGACCGATCTGAGCGACCAGTTCGCCGGTCTCCCCACTGTCACTGGTGCTGGGATTGGCGCTGCCCAGCACCGCCAGACTCGGCGATTCCTGAGGATGAGGCGACGCCTTCTTGTTGGGCACTGGCCGAGCCAGTGGCGTCTTCAATTGCTTCACCTTTGGTGGGGGGGCCTGACCTCGGCGGCTGAGTCCTGCGACGCGAGGCAGAAAATTCCTCATTGGCTGGCCAGCGGGTGGATGTGAAGCAGGTGCCGGATAGGGCGCAGCAGATCGGGCTGCTGCCATGGTCAAAGCTGTCCCCAGTTGCGTGACTTCGTCCGAACGTGGATGGGAATTGCAATTGGCATTGCCATGACCATGGCAATGGCCCTGGCCACTGGTTGTATTGTTCCTATGGCAGCCTGCCGACTGCCGGGAAGAACGTCCCTCGAAAACTTCCATGCCGGTCCGAAATCAGTGTAAGAATGAAATATTGCCCAGCCTCAAATCAAACGATACAAATAGAAAGGGAAATGCTAACTAGATGAAATACTTTTCCATGCAAGTAAAACACATGCAAAATATATTGATTTTTGTCAGTTTATGTTTTGGGAGAATGTTTTGTATTATCTTTCAAATTGAAAGCAGCAGAACGCCACACGTCTGACCTCGAAGTCTCAGCAACTTCTGATTCCTCTTCGGGAAGCTTCTATAAAACGGTTTGGATTCGATCATCTAGTTAAGGACTTGTGAAATTCCAAATAGCAATGTTTGCAGAAATCGGCCACAGCTGCAACGTAAATGGATTTCTAATTGAAATCGACGATTGTTTATAATAAGGCTGGGGTGGCCTGACTTCCAACTTAAGTGATATCAACAATTGTTTATATTAAAGCTGGGGTGGCCTGACTTCCAATTATGGGAAACCGAAGATTGTGTATAGCATACTATGGGAAGCCAAAGATTGTTTATAAATTGAATAATATTCTTATGGGAACGGGTTCGTTAACTTGCATAAGCGTGGTGAGTCTGGCGCACGAGAGCGCGTCACAGGGGGGAAAAACGCTCATAAGCGTGAGAGCGGGAGCGAGGGCAAACACTTGCGTAGCTGGAATGCTAACAGTGGTGTGGCTGGAATGCCCACAGAGCTGTTGCCCAGCCAGCGCCGTCCTCACTCTGAGCACTGTCAGAAGATAATCATTTAAGCAAGTACCATGACTGTTGCAGCCGCATCAAAGACAATCCGCAGTTTGTTTCGCTTGTTGATATTTTTAACACCAAAGTGTGGTAAATAGTACGTCAAGGAAGTTTTAGTAAGTATCCTTTGTCTATATATGATTCTATCACTTCCTGATATTTTAAACCATATAGCTTGTTTTTGTCTATTTTGCGTTCTAACAGAATTAGTCGATAGGTATGCGTTATTGTAGCTTTCTGGAAATACAGTATTCTCGTTCTTCCAAAATAACCCACACTCAAATCTATTTTCTTTTCTTACATGTGTCTTGTCAATGATATCCAACATTTTTTATCGTCAAAAGATATTGGATTATCTTTTGGAAAAGTCATTTCATTCTCCATTGACCATTGACAAGGTTGTGCAAAATACTTAAATCGTATATTTCGTCATTCTTATGTGAACAGTTATATGTAACATATACATAATTTGAATTATTGTCCGAACTATTCTTACTCGTGACTATGAGTGACCAAATGTACTGTCCAATAAGTATCGTAGGCCTTGCATTCTGATATGCACAGTCCTTAAAGTCATTTAGGAATTACGTTACTCTGATTCAAGTTTATATTACAATTTTCTTTGGGTATCAATTCGGTGATTTTGAATCTCTGGTAAAATTAGATTTTGACCTGCCAAGTTTGGTAATTTCTTTATGTAATAATGTATTATGACTGTACGTACACTTATTAATATTATTAATATTACAAATCTTTTTGCGTTTACAATTTTTCATTGCATGATTCTTACATAAACATGAAATACACTGTAACGAACCATGGTTCTAGCCTAGCTCGTCACAAACGGCGGAGTGTCAGCGCATTTACGCTAGTCGACAACAATAATCAAACTGATCTACACAGAGAGAACGAACCACGGTTCGCCACAAATAGCGGTGCGTCAGCACCTCCGGAAAATAAAATAGTCTTAAGCAACGCACGCAATTACTAAAATTAAGAGCTCTCGATCAACAACTCTACCCATTCTTGTCCACACGTCAATTTAAAACAACACACCTCTTGCATTATTTCGCAATCAGCGAAGACAGCATGAAATTCTCGACCACCCACTTCTATGCGATATTTCGCAACCACTCGGCCTCAAATTACCGACCCAAATGCAGATATCGCCTTCAGCGATCTTAGTTAGCAAAACCTTATTTCGCAAAACCCCATTTCGAAACCCAATTTATAATTGCAGCCCGCACTTTCCGCGATGCAGTCTCATCAAAAACTCACTGACCCACTATCCAATTGTCAACGAAGCACCAAGCTTCTACCTACTTACCACGCCCCACAATTATTGTTACCCAACAATCATAAGTTAGCAATAATTAATTATTTCCGGGTCGCAGACAGACCACGGAAAATCACGGTCTCAGGTGCGATCGCCAGCTGCATAAAAAGGCCAATATCGGCCGAAGAAGCAGGCAGTCCATCAGCCCAAAGCCAAGCCACTGCACTAGGCAGTCCATCAGCCCAAGCCCAAGCCACTGCACTAGGCAGTCGATCAGCTCACAGCACTTCTAGCAAGACCAGCAGGTCTCGAAATTGTAATTGTATATGTAAAACGAATAAAAAGCATTCATAATAAACAAAACCACAAAAGCTACCGCGTCATCAATTCTTCCAATTTTCCTAATGCTCTTTTCGGAAATTTCAAGGCCAGCACCGAACCTGAAGTTCCTATACATCTACAAATTTCTTGTAAACCCTGGACAGGCTGGTGCATATCCCAGCCTGAAATAGGTATCTTGCAACACAAATGATTTTTTGAGACGTGCTCCCAGCTTTTGTCAACGTCTAGGCTTTTAAATTTGTCACATGATGACACATAGTGATCAATCAGCTTACAAAAATTACAATATTGAGTTGTTATTTGTTTATGTGGCCACTTATCATCCTATATAGTAAGTGTCGTTTCTTTTGGCTTGTTCAGTCGATACCCTTATATTTGAGCAGCTCTACTTTTTTTGCCAATCCATCTTTGCAACACTAGAAGTTGCGGTTCGTCTTTATCCGTTTCTTGATAATGCAGGATATGCGTTGTGATACTGGAAGTTTTCCAATATGTCATTAAACAAAATAGGATTTCGAATATGGTCAATTTGCTCAAGTGACAACAAAGTATGAATTAAATTTGTAAGTTGGTCAATAAATTTATAAATTATTCAAACTTGTCATCTTCTAAAACAGGAATATTTCTTATTTTATCAATTAACTGTCGTACAATATGATTTGCAGCGCCAAGTCGTTCTTTCAAAACCTCAATGACATCATCAATATGGCAATAAAAGAAGCGACTGTACTGCTTCCTTAGCTCTACCTGTCAAGGCCTTTCTTAAACGAATGATATTTTCATAATCATTAAATTTACAACTCGCTGTGCTGTTGACAAACTCAAACTAAAGGGTCGCCTGCAAATTTTGGGAAATCCTGCACGATTGTTTGTCTTGCCATAAAACTTGCAATTAAATTTAAACTCGTTGTCTGGTTTCCCGGCCTCATATTCCCCAATAAATTCCTCAAAATAGCCAGTGGAGCAAATTAACGTAATCTCACCTTTGTTTTCTATTTGCATTGCCCACTGCATATATATTGTAACCGATTATAATTACTCACGGCAGCGGCCGTTCTTTCGCCTCTTTATATCTCCTTCTTCATTTGCTACTGCAGCTGCAGCATCTATACTGTTCTATCGCATTCTCTCTCTCTATCTATCGCTCGTGCTCGGCTCAGCAGCAGCCGAGCTTCTATCGCTTCTTTCGTTTCTCTCTCGCTTGCATTAGGGAACGGGCAATTCGGTCCGCCTGCCCTCTTCTAGTCTTTAATTGATCGTCATCATTATCGCACTCACGTTCTACTGTCTTGATCAATCACTCACTTCTCTCGCATATTGAACAGACCCTGCGTCTTCAATTCTCGCTTTGATTTGATCATCCGGTACCCCTCGCTTTATTTTCGCTACACCTACGCACCCCATATTTCGCCTACTTAACAAATAAACTGTACACACATAAAGTATATTGAATCGCTCGACTTCTTAATTTAATCTAAATTCAACAGCTAGTGAAAAAGCTCGCTAGCTCAACATTTGGTGACCCCGACGTGATTTGTGCAATAAACAATTCGGTAGTGCAAATTACAAACTACAATTTATTATCGAAATTACCCTCAAGATCCGTTCGTTCGTTTGGTTTCACTTGCCTGCTGTCTCAACCCGTGTCATCGACCACATAGGTGCATACAAGCTTATAGAGACAGCCCATGCATATAGGGCATAGCTGTCGGCAGTCTTTCCCGTATATTTTGCGTGTTGCTCTTTTCGGTCATCTTCCCGCTAGAAACGTTTCTAACTCTGCCCTTGCTATGGGAACCGATGCTGGAAACGACATTGCAGTAGCCGCAGCTAAAAACAGGGTGACTTTCCTGAGACTGAAAGTACCTTCATTAATAAAACAATTGGAAAGGATGAAGGCTATTTTGGAGAGTGAGATATCGCTGCGTGATTATTTTACGCTAATTGTATGGCTGAAGGAGATCGAGGAGCTGCAGGGCACTTTTAAAACCCTGCACAACGAGCTCCAAGAGTTGGATTACGACAATAATCACATTGGATTGTGCGAAAAGTTTAATTGTGGTTTTATGCCGCTGAATGCTTCGATTCGGCTGGAAATCTCTCGTCTCAACCCTCACCTGCCTCCTCCCTCTACAGTTTCAGCAAAAACTATTATTGCTAATATTGTTGGCAGGCAGCTGCCACCACGGAGGAATCCGGCACCCGTTCTATGCCTTGTGCAATCGCCATCTACGGATACAACGAAGCCAGCCACATGCTTATGTGTGGGGCGAATGCTGCAGTTGACAACAGATGAGCGGGTAAAGCAGTCTGTTGATGCAAAAAATCATTTTCGCGACGTATGCATGGATGTCTCTGAATCCAGCTCCCGTTCTCAGGAGGAGTACAATACGATTTTGGAGAAACCAGCTTTATCAGCTGCTCAATTGACGACAGGTTACAAGGAACCACATTTGAAGTTCGACATTGGCAGCGATGTCCCAGCACCGTTGGAACTAGCTTCGGAACCGGCTACTAAGAGACCATTACTCTCGTGCTTGAACATTCAGTCGTCGACGCGCCCTGCAGGCGCTCAGTTCATGCCTTGTCTACAGAAGAACAGCCCAACGACCCCTCCGGACTACCTGGTCCTAAACTTCCTTTATCAAGACCAGCTCTAAGCTCTGAGTGTGAAGCTGACGGATTCTGCAACGTCAGCATTGAGACTTATCGTGCCAGTAGCTACGTGA